TCCCTTGTTCTTGGGAAATATGAGGAATCCTGATAAGATTCGCTAACATGTATGTGATGAAAAAACTACGCTTAGATTTAAAAAACGTGCCAAAGAGTGTCAGAATGTATCCAACGAGATAAGCTGGAGGGACAGTTGCAAGGCTGGGAATCTGCTGAGAAGAGGCTCTGCGAAGAGGAGCCGAAAGGCCATTTGCCCAGCCTGCATGCTGCCCTCAGAGGGTCCATGGAGGTGGTTTCATGGTCTCCTTGATGAATGGTGAACATCTGTACTCTGGTTATGAAAACTGGCTAACAAAGATGGAAGGAAACAAAAGACAAAAATAATAAATAAATAACCTAAGATCACATAAAGTACAATCTATTGGTGAGACTTACAGGTAAAAGTGTGGTTTTAGGTAAATGCAAGACAATGGATCCGCAGGTCATGAGGCAGAAAGAAAAAAAAAAAAAAAGATAAAAGTAGCCCAAACAGGATTGCGTCTGGACTTTTTCAGGACCATTTCTTTTAAAGATTTTTTTTTTTTTTTTATCGGAAAGGCAGATATACAGAGAGGAGAGACAGAGAGGAAGATCTTCCATCCGATGATTCACTCCCCAAGTGAGCGCAACGGCTGATGCTATGCCGATCCGAAGCCAGGAGCCTCTTCCGGGTCTCCCACGCAGGTGCAGGGTCCCAAAGCCTTGGGCCATCCTCCACTGCTTTCCCGGGCCACAGGCAGGGAGCTGGAAGGGAAGCGGGGCTGCCGGGATAGAACCGGCACCCATATGGGATCCCGGGCGTGCAAGGCGAGGACCTTAACCACTGCGCCACCGCGCCGGGCCCTAAGGAACATTTCTAACAGGTGTTCCAGATGTCAGGTAACAGATATTTCAGAGACTCCTGTGTAAAGGGACATTGTGACCCTAGAAGGTCAGTGAGCACAGGATTACAACTGATAGGATAACATTTGTATGAAAACAACTGAGTGTGAACCATTCCTATAACTAAATGGATGTTATTTGTATGAGAACAGTTGAGTGGACAGCATGGGAATGAGAACACTTGGTGGAATATACAAAACAAAAGGAGTTCCAAACAAAAGCAAAGAAAGAGTTAATGGGTTTTGTTGATGAGCTCAATACCTCCTCCCTTATCCTATATGACCCACCTGTTGTATGAAGTCTTATGCCCTATTACATTTCGGCTTTCCACCATCACTCAGAGTCCACCCGTGTTATTATCAGCTCCGTGCACTAAGTCCATCGCTACAGGACAGTGACACTCAACAAAAGCACCAGATAGCAAGTCATCTAAGGACTTTTTTTTTAAACCCTCTCCTAGGACTAGGGATGACCCTACAGAGTCACTTAGAGGTCAAAAGGCAGTTGGGTCTGAAATATATCATGTTGAGCCCTGTAGTGAAATACTTGCAGTATTAAATTTTTTGAAAAGGTGAGGCATTTATTCATGAAGGAAATACACCAGTTGTTGGTGAGCTTGTGTGTTACTTTTGTTTTACTCTATGGTAAAACAAAGTCAGAAATAAACAGATCTTCCACCTGTTGGTTTACTCCCTCAAATGCCCACAAAATCTAGGATTGGACCACACCAAAGTCAAGAGCCAAGAGCCCCTGCTGCGTCTCCCACTTGGTGTCAGGGTCCCAAGTGTCTGAGCCACCATCTGCTGCCCCCAGTGGGTGTGCACTAACAAGAAGCCAAATTAGAAGCACAAGCCTGAGACAGCCCAGGAGAACTGCAATATGGAATTTGGGTTTTCCAGGCAGCTGTTCTGCATCCACTGCACCCCAACACTCACCCGTTCTGTGCTCTGATTGCGAATTGGTTTTATGATCAGAAAGATAATCAAATATAATCCTTAATTTAAAATAATTTTATTTGCTAAACTTTTTTCATTTTTAAAGATTTATTCATTTTTGAAGGGTCCTGCGCCATGGTTCCACTGACTAACCCTCCCCCTTCAAGTGCTGCGATCACATATGAGTGCTGGTTCTAATCCCAGCAGCTCCACTTTCCATCCAGCTCCCTGCTTGTGGCCTGGGAAAGCAGTCAAGGATGGTCCAAAGTCCTGGGACCCTGCACCTGCATGGGAGACCAGGAAGAAGTTCCTGACTCCTGGTTTCAGATAGGCTCAACTACGGCAGCTGCAGCCACTTGGGGAGTGAAGCAGCAAGCCACAAACAGGGAGCTGGATGGAAAGTAGAGCAGGTGGGACATGAACTGGCACCCGTATGGGATCCTGGCGCTTGCCAGGAGGGTGATTAGCCAATGGAGGCATCACGCCAGGCCCTAAACTTTTTCCTTAAGGAAACATCCCACCAAATGACTCCTACCTAGCCTAAATTGCAGGTCCCAAGTAAACAAATACTGAAATATATATGGTCGGTACAGTAGTGAGTGCTTGAGAGCTTGAAGTGAGGAGCTGACATGCCCATCTGTGAATGTAAGCCCTATTTCATTTCCCAACAGCTGTGGAACCCTGGCTGAGTTGGTCCCACATTCAACCTCTAGAGAGGTCAATTTGCTTCTCTGTAGAATTAAGCTATCAAGGAACTTCCAAAGAATCTTAGAAAATGGAATTAAAAGATCTTGAATGAAACTTGAAAACGCAGAATTTTTTCACAATACACATTTTCCATGCACTTTTTGAAGACCACCTGCGAGGCATGGATTACACACGTCCTTTTGCAACGAAATAATCTTTTAATTCCGCCCCCCCCCCATAAACTTTCCGATGCTCCTTCCTACTTTCTCGTGACATTGGTGTGAAGACGAAGTGAATTAATACTCCCTTAAGGTGCATACAAACACGCAGGGACAGCCAACCAACCAAGCCAGGCCAGGCCAGGGCAGGGCAGGTAGCAAGCCCGCGCTCCGAGGCAGAGAAGTCGGTGGACGTGCGCCACTGACAGCAGCCGCAACTGCAAAAACAGCCAAGACTTGTCAGGTGGCCGAGAAGCCTGGAGGAGAACGCAGAGGGCTTCAGCAAAGGCACAGACGCCAAACTCGCGCCCCCGAGACGCTGGGCATACACTGCCATGGAAAGGAATCCCACCCTGTGTCTGCAGAGAGCTGGCTCACTAAGCAAAACGCTACGAGGCGAACAATAAAAAACAACAACGCCTCAAGGATTAAAACAAAAGTGAGAACCCCATCGCTGCACCGCCCACGGGTCCTCCCGGGCACTGCAGGACAAGGAGCCCGCCAGACAGAAGAACAGCGCCTCCTGCATGCCGCGACCGTGATCCTCTGCGCAGGCGCCCGGAGCCGACCCGTGAGAACTACAACTCCCAGACAGCCACACACGCAAGGCCAGCTGCTTCCGCTTCCTCGCTCCCGCCCTTGCCAGGGAGACGGCCCGTCACGTGAGCACGCGTGACCCTGCGTCACGGGGGTTGGGGGCGGGAGGGGTGCAGGAACCGAGAGGGCCCCCCGAGGTACGACTCTGGGACCCCATTGGTAGAGAGGCAACCTCGGAAAAGGTAAAAAAAAAAAAGTCAACGTGCCAGTCTGCGTCGCGATTGGAGTTGGTGGGAGCGAGGCCTGGGATACGGGCCAATCAGCAGTGCGGGTTGTCGTTTTGGGACCGTGAAGGGAAAAGGGTCGCAGGCCGCGGGGTCTGGCGGGAGGAGCAGTTGCCCGGTGGTTGCTTGGCGCTTCCTGTTTCCGGTTCCCGAAGTTGGGGGGGCCCCGCGAGGCGCCAGGGTGAGTGGGAAGTCGGGGTCCGCCGCCTACCGCTCGCTGGCCGGTGGTCACTCGCCGGGGAGGACCTGGAGCCTCGGTCGCCTGCGCCACGTGAGTGGGGCAGCCGGGGACGTCAGATCAGGCTCCCTGAGCCAGAATGGGGGCGTCGGGAGAGGGAATACAGACCCAACCCTCCAAAGGACGCGTAGGGCCACCGGAGAGGGACTGGCCGCGGGGCATGGAGCCCCTGTGGAGCTGGGACTGGGTCCTTGTTAGACCCCTGCCCCTGGCGAAGAGGGGCGAGCTTCGCAGACTTCCCCCCAGGAAAGATGGAGGGGTGCCGGCCAGTAGGGGCGTTCCGTCATCGCCGGGGGTTCCTCCCTGCAGACAGCTTTACAGAAGCTGTTGCTTGAGTTTTGAAGGTTTGTTTTGTTTTCCCAGCTAGTTGGGGCTGCTCTTCTCGAAGCGGGTGAAGAAGAGGGCTCCCGGAGGGTGCCACGTGAGAATCGAGAGGAAGGTAAAAGCCATTACCCCGGAAGGTGGCCCAGGCCAGCCCCACGGTCCAGGTCCCAGGCTCGTCCCAATGGATCCTAAACATTCAAGCGGGATTCAAGTCCTGCCCCTTGTTGCCACAAGGATCCCCGTGGTCTCTGATGGTAGCATGGGCCCAGGCCTTGGCGCCCAGTCCCCTTCCTAATTGTGCTGTCCATCTGTGATGTGTCCGTTTTTCTAGTCGTTTTCTTTATGCCAGCAGGCCCTAGTGGCTGGAGAAGCAACTTTCCTGGTTGTTCTCGCCCTGCCTGGCGGATCTGAGGGGCCAAGGCAGCATTGAGCTCAGCTTTGGCTGGCTGCAGGGCCTTCACCGCTTTATCCCTGCTGTTCCGTGAAACTGCCTTTCTGGGCTTCGGTTAGCAGATAGAGAGCTCACTTTGAAACCAAAAGAACACAGCTGTCCGTGTGAGATTTCCCTCCAGAAAAGGAATGGCTCCTGGGTAGCACAGAAGGAAGACATCTTTTCTTTTTCTTTTTTTAAAGATTTATTTATTTTTATTGGAAAGTGAGTTATGCAGAGAAGAAGATCTTCTTTCCGCTGATTCACTCCCCAAGGGGCCGCAATGGCTAGAGCCGAGCCAATCCGAAGCCAGGAGCCCACAGCCTCTTCTGGGTCTCTCACACGGGTGCAGGGTCCCAAGGCCTTGGGCCGTCCTCTGCTGCTTTCCCAGGCCACAAGCAGGGAGCTGAAAGGGAAGCGGGGCCGTTAGGATTAGAACTGGCGCCCATAAGGGATCCCAGTGTATGCAAGGCAAGGACCTTAGTCACTAGACTACTGCACTGGGCCCAGAAGAAATCTCAGTTCAACGGGCTGACATTTTAACTTAGGTCCTGAGAGAACATAATGGAAATTGCCTGCTGAATCAGTCTGCGGGAGTCCCCTATTTCAGTGGAGGGAATCAGCGAGTCCTGTTGAGTAATGGGTAGCTCGGGGAGGGCCGCAGTTTGAGGTCAGTTTTTGTTTCCTTGGTAGACTGAGTGAAGAGTCACTTCCCCGTTGCCTGTGGCTTTGTCCGAACACGTGCCCAGCCTTGTTTGCCCGCTCCCATCCCCCCAAGACATTGTCCTGAAAGGAGATCCAGGCGCGTGCAGCAGCGGAGCACAGGCCAGGAGCTTTGGGGCCATGTTAGCGGGCTTCACTGCACCTCCTGTCTTTCCATTTTTAATCCATGAAGTGGGAACAGTCGTATTTTGCTGCATGATGTTGTAGTGCTTCCCACCGAGCCTGGCCGAAGGCCGGTGTTCTACAAGAAGTTGCTGGCAATTGTGGGTTTGGTCTTGTAAACGTAGGGAGAACCTCTCGGCTGGCTAGACTTATTCTTTGGAAATAAGCTTAGTGAATCACTAAACCTGCTGTGGTGAACTGGGGCAAGTGCTGTCCGGCAGATAACTTGTCAAACATTGCCCATGGGGACTGTGGGAATTTAACCCTGGAAGCAAGCATAGTGCACGGTCAGAGGTCGAGGCTGGGGCTTGCAGGTTCCCATCTGTAAGCTCATATGTACCCATTAAGTTTTGTCTGTTTCAAGTTTTAACTTCCCAAGCGACAGTGAAGTCAGTTGACTACCAGTGTGTTATTCATATGTGAAAAAAAAAAGATTGGAAGCATTAACTTTGTCGTTGGGACAAGGGTTGTTGTTGTTGTTGGTTGAACTTGTCAGCAGTGGCGGAGTCTTACAAGATCTGCTGGGTGTGAAGGAGAGCTCAAGAAAAGCAAACAAGTTGAGAGCCATGGCTTTCCAGCCCTCGAGTAGTGCGTGAGTGGGATTTAGTACACCAGCGAGAGCACGCTTCGGGTTGTCATCAGTTTAGCGACAACCATCGTTACTGCAAAGCAAGACATCCTCGCGATTTGGGACCCAGCAGAGTGAAGGACGAGCTGTCTTGATGTACTGAGTTTTCTTCTCCCCATAACCTAACTCTCTGTGAAGCAGTGGACTGGATAAAGTTGTAGGTGCTGGTGGCTGTGTTCACTTCTCTTCCACACTCATGGTGAATCCAAAGGTGGTTAGGTGTGCCTAGACAATGATAGGAAAGGTTAGCGTGCCAGCTATTCAGACTGCTCTCTCTGCAAGCGAACCTTTCCAAGACCCTCTTTAAATAGGCAAGTGGGCATTTGCTTGGTGGCAGACCACCTATTTCAGCTGTATTTATGAAGTAGTCATAGGCTTGTGAAATGAGCTATCTTGATCTGAGTTTCCCAGAGCTGTGTAAAATGTTCCATTTGTCGCTTCCGCTTTCTCCACAGCCAGTTCATGCGCCTCGTCTGCCCCTCCTCATCCCCCAGCGCCCCCCGAAGCATGATCCCCTTGCTCGGCTGCTGGAGGGCTGGGCTGCTGCTGCTGCTGCTGCTGGCCGTGGCCGTGAGAGACTCCTGGCAGACAGAAGAAAAAACATGTGACCTGGTGGGAGAGAAGGGGAAAGAGTCCGAGAAGGAGCTGGCACTCCTGAAGAGGCTGACACCACTGTTCAACAAAAGGTGACTGAAGACGGGCCGCGGGAGACGCCGGTTCAAACCCCTCTTCTTCCCACTGGATACGTGGGCAATAACCCCTGTGGGAAATGCTCTCAACTGAACCTCAGCCACCTGGGTCTTATGTGGCCATGCCATCTTGCTGTTTTTTATGATACACAACAAGTTTTTTTTTTTTAATTGGAAATTCAGATATACAGAGAGGAAGAGAAACAGAAAGATCTTCCATCCGATGATTCATTCCCCAAGTGAGCGCAGCAGCCCGTGCTGTGCTGATCCAAAGCCAGGAGCCAGGAATTTCCTCCTGGTCTCCCACACAGGTGCAGAGTCCCAAGGCTTTGGGCCGTCTGCAACTGCTCTCCCAGGCCACAAGCAGGGAGCTGGATGGGAAGTGGGGCTGCTGGGATTAGAACTGGCTGCCATATGGGATCTGGGCGTGTTCAAGGAGAGGACTTTAGCCTCTAGGCCATGCCGCCAGGCCCCACGTTTTTTAGTAGCAGCATGCACTTCTCTTTTCCAGAAGTGTAGCTGATCCATGAGGCCAGCTTGCAGAAATGCAGGCATGGTTCGGTACCTCCCGACGGTAGGATTTCCTCAGGTGAATGTGTTAGGCTTGTCCATGTTATGAATGTCAGGAACCTTCAGGTAGCCATTGAGAAACATGGGAGTCCAGCTCCAAGATGGACACTGCTTAATGTCTTGACATTAGGATGCTGGACTCAACCATTGTCTAGTCCTGTAGTGTCTTGGCAGGTATGGAATAATGCTTGTGTTTCTACAAGCTGGTCTTCACTTCAGGGAAAGAGAAGTGAGTGTGCCCTGCTACTAAAACCCCGGCTTGGAATTTGCAGTGTGTCATAAAAATGTGATGGACTTCTGACTGTTGTTTGTTTATTGAGGAAATATAAGGCAAATCAGTGGAGAAAGATGAAGGGGAAATCCCCTGAGCCTGTGGAACTGTATCAGAAAATAAATAAATATGCTTGATCTTAGTCAAAAGGCCGAGACGCGATTAAATAAATAAAAGGAAAAATAGACACCCTTGATGACAGGGAAATAGCAGCCTAGAACAGGCTTTCTAGAATTATCTGAAGTATCTATCCTGTTTTATTTGAATTGTTCCTCATCAACAATTAAAATGGTCTAATAGGCTCATGAGTCTCTGATAATTCCACAGATATTGATTGGCTTCCATTGAGCCACATCAGAAGTCCATGCAGCCTGCTTGGTTTTTTGTTTTGTTTTGTTTTGTTTTTCCTTTGTAAAGGACAGGGAAGCTGACAGCCTGACTCTTGTCTCCTCTCACTTGTCTCCACAGCTTCGAGAGCACGGTGGGCCAGGGCTCAGACACATACCTCTACAAGTTCAGGGTATGCCGCGAGGCTGGCAACCACACGTCCGGGGCAGGCCTGGTGCAGATTGACAAAAGCAGCGGAAAGGAGACGGTGGTGGGGCGGTACAATGAGACGCACATCTTCAATGGAAGTAAGGCCCTCCATGTGGACTGAGTGTTGATGCAGGGCAATTGTTTGGATGGTCCCACGTGTCATGGCCAGAAGAGGCTTTCTGTCGTGTGTCGCCCATGGTGGGCATAAACCACAGGGTGCCTGGGTTCCCAGCTGCTCCAGAGCCAGAGGCTGGGCCATTGATGTGTTTAAGGGCAGCGAAAAATCTTAGGAAAAATGCGGAATCCAGACAGCAGTGTGTAACCTCCAGGTCTTTCACTCAGCCAGATGTAGTCATACCAACTTGCCACCATTTCTCATCCGATTTTAGTCGGAGTTTGCAGTTAAATGTTAAGAGATGAAGCTCTTTGGCAAACCACAGTTTCCCTACTGACACTGCTGTGGTGGTGATATTTTGTAAAAGTCCTATAATCATTTGGCTGCAAAGGACTTGTCTAATTCAGTGCCAGGAACAGATAAATCAAATCTCCAGTACAGCTAGTTACTCGTCTAAAATAGCAATCATAAAGTTACCGTGCAGAGTTTGGGCCTGCAGTCAGATGACCAGGAGCTAGAGCCCGCTTCTGTTTTCTGGTCCTGCGACTTTAAACAAGTCATTTCACTTTTCTTGTTGTTTTCGGATGCGAAATTGAAAGCAGAACCCCTGTGTGCTTCATCTACGTGATGGTTGGTTCAAATGACAGTTTGCGGGAGATACAGGAGAGGAAGGGATTCCCAGCTGGACATCGGCTTTTGATCTCTCTGTGGCTCCTCCGAAATCTTGGGGTGCCTCCTGCTGCTCAGCAGTTGTAGGGAGTCCCTTTTGCTCTTAGTGAGTGTTCAGAAAATGTAACTCATGGGAGGTGGAAGTTGCTGCTGTTCTTGCACTGTCAGTTGGCTGCCTTTAACATGAAAGCATCATTTTCTTACATGAATATCTGATTTCTTTAGTTGTCTTAAAGGCATATAAAACTCTGTAAAGAGGTCAGTTTCAGCCTGGCCTTTCTGGTGCACAGAGCTCATGCTGACAGGGTTATTTTAACGAAAACCACTGTCGTTGGCTGAGTAATTGTGCCCTGCCATATTACCCAGATCTGCCTCCAGCGTCCTCCCCTGCCCCTTAGAAACCATTGCCTTGTCGCTCAGGTGACTGGATCATGCTGATCTATAAAGGGGGCGACGAATATGACCGTCACTGTGGCAAGGAGCAGCGCCGTGCGGTGGTCATGATCTCCTGCAACCGACACACACTGGCGGTGAGCACGCCGGGGTTCCTCAGCCCAGGGAGGAAACTTGAGGGACCGACCACCATCGGGGACAGATTGAGAGGAGATGAGCTGGGCTGAGCCCAGGGAGGACAAAGGAGGGGCCAACCACCGACTGAGGGGGTTAGATCCAGACGAGCTGGGCTGACCCCAGGGAGGACAACAGAGAGCCAACCGCCAACTGAGGGAGCAGATCCAGATGGGCTGGGCCGACAGTGTCCCTGTCAGACTGCTCAGACTGAGGTCCCCGTGTCCCCGGGTAACTGGGCTTCTGACCAGGAACAAAGCAGGTGATTGGGAGTTGTTTCCCCCTTGTTGGATGAGAGTGAAACCCTGTACCACGTGTCTTGTCTTCCATGCCCTGGGCTGCAGGATAATTTTAACCCTGTGTCCGAAGAGCGAGGCAAAGTTCAAGACTGTTTCTACCTCTTTGAGTTGGACAGTAGCCTGGCCTGCCCGCCGGAGGTGTCCCATCTCAGCGTGGGCTCCATCTTACTGATCACGTGAGTAGTGTGTGTGTGTCCGCTTTGTTGTCCCTGCCCCCTCAGATCTCTGTGTGTGTGCTGATATGAAAAGGCTGGCTGGAACATTCTGCGCCAAATTTCTTAATGAAGTAATGTGTTCTGCCCCTAATAATTGCATTTGGTGATGCTTTATTTTCATGGACTGCTGGGTAGTTTTTAATACTATCTGAGTATTAGATGATTAGAACTTTAGAAATGGCTGTTTTTCTGGATTGCAAGGTAAGAATCACCTACTGTGCCATGTAGCTTTTCTGGCAAATTTTCATTTCATTTCATTTCTTGTCCATTGGTTCATTTCCTGAATGCTCACAGTGGCCAGGACTGAGCTGGGCCCAATCTGAGAGCCATGAACTCCATCCATGACTCCCTTGTGTGTGGCAGAACACACTCACTTGAGCCAGGGTCTGCACTGTTTGGAGCTGGGTATCAAACTAGGCACAGAGAGGTACGGACATGCTGTTTTAAAAATAAGATGTAGTTTATTGATTTGAAAGTCACAGAGAAGGAGAGAGGTTGATTTTTCATCTGCTGGTTTGCTTTCCGAATAGCAGTGGCAACCTAGGATGAGCCAGAGCAAAGCCAGGAGCTAGGAGCTTTGTTCGGCTGCCTTCCCAGCATATTAGGAAGCCAGATGGGAAGTGGAACAGCCAGAACTTGAACTGGCATATATATGAAATGCCAGCATTGCAGGCAGAGGCCTAGCCTACTTTGCCACAATGCCAGCTCCAAGATGCAGAAATCTTAACAAAAAAATTTTTAATGTATTTATTTGAAACACTAAGTGACAGAGGGCAGGGCTTTTCCAGCCACTGGGCCACTTCCGACATGGCACAATGACAAGAGTGAAGTCAGACCAAGACCAAGAGCAAGCTGCTCGTCCCATGTGGGCAGCACAAACCCATACGCTTGGGTTATCATCTGCCTTTTCCAGTACAGTAGCAGGAAGGCAGATGGGAAATGGAGCAGCTAGGACTTAGATCAACACTCCAGTATGGGATGCCAGCATTGTAGGTGGCAGGTTAACATACTACGCTACCGGGGTGGTGGCCTAGCGGCTAAATTCCTTACCTTGCATACATAGGGATCCCATTTGGGCACCGGTTCTAATCCCAGCAGCCCCACTTCCCATCCAGCTCCCTGCTTGTGGCCTGGGAAAGCAGCAAAGGATGGCCCAAGGCCTTGGGACCCAGTACCTGCTTGGGAGACCCGGAAGAAGTTCCTGGCTCCTGGCTTCAGATTGGCTCAGCTCTGGCTGTTGTGCTCACTTGGGGAGGGAATCAGTGGAAGATCTTCCTCTCTGTATATCTAACTTTGCAATAAAAATAAATAGTTTAAAAAAGAAAAAAACATACTGCACCACAACACTGGCCCCTTCAGCAGAGTTCTCAGCCACTAGGCTAAATGCCTACCCTGTGTCACATTCTTGTAAACAGATATTTTTGTTTCTTTAATTCAAAGGCAGAGTGATGGAGATTTCCATCTGCTGGTTTGCACTGTGGCCACAATGACCGAGGATGACGCCTGTAATTCTCTCAGGGTCTCCCACTTAGCCATCTCTTGCTACTTGCTGTGTACATTAGAATCTGAAGCAGAGCACCAGGTGCCAGTCTGTACCCCAGCTCTTCCAGTTCCTTGCCACTCCCTACACCTGGGAATAAACAGTGGCATATGGTACAGGTGCTTGGGCCCCTGTCCCCACCCGGAGACTCTGAGGAAGCTCCTGGCCTCACCCTGGCCCAGTGTTGGCTGCTAGAACCATAAGGGAGTGAACCAGCAGGTGCCACCACACTGGAGTCACATGACTTTTTTCTCTTTAGGTTCGCATCACTTGTCGCCGTCTATATCATCGGAGGCTTCCTGTACCAGCGACTGGTGGTGGGAGCCAAGGGGATGGAGCAGTTTCCCCACCTAGCCTTCTGGCAGGATCTTGGCAACCTGGTAGCAGTAAGTAATGGGGCAGTCTGTAGCCCAAGTTCAGGATTAGGTGACCCAGAGATTTTGTACTGAGACTGAGGGCGCACGAGTCGAGTGCTGGAGCCACAGAAGTCCCAGCTGGACAGGCCTCAGTGTCAGAGCAGATGCTCTGGTCTCGCGAGGACACAGCAGACACTGGCTGTTGGTTAATGCCCTCTGCTACATCCCAACAACTCCTAGGGGGTCTGCGTAGGGAACCAAGGTCCAGTTAGAAGAAAACTTCTATTTCTCATAAATTGATCTAGTTAATCCTTGCTTGGGTCTTTTTCATTATCCCTGGAGAGCTCGAGTCATTGCCACCATCTTGGACCATAAATACACTTTTTCTGTCGTCCGCTAAGGGTCGCTGTTCCACATGTTTTCCTTTTATTCCCCCTCCAGGATGGCTGTGACTTCGTGTGCCGTTCTAAACCCCGCAATGTGCCTGCTGCATATCGTGGTGTGGGAGACGATCAGCTGGGGGAGGAGTCCGAAGAAAGGGATGACCATTTATTACCAATGTGATTACACTGGAGGAGTCCAGCCTCTTCGGTCCCCCAAACCAAAGCATCCTCAGCCAGATCTCCCAGGCAGTGTCCACTCAGCCCATTGCTCTTGCTTTCCAGTTCGCTTTTGATTTGTATCCTCTACTCACCAAAACGGCCTTCCCGTGCTCCCATAGTTTTTTTCTTCCAGCGGTACAGGTGTGATATGCCAGAGCCTAGGAACACAGGCTACCAGAGAAAGTCCAAGTGGGAAGAAGGGCAGAAGGGAATGGCAGGCAAGTCCCTTGGCCCTTTTTTAAACACATTTTTACAAATTTTCAAGACACTGGATTTTTTCTTTTTTTAAATGCAGAGGATATTATTTATACAGGTTTGATTGCTTTCCTGCCATTACTCTGTGCGCTGCAAGAGTCTATGAGAACCAGGATGTGATTTCTTGCTGCTTGGAACTACTTGGAGGCAGTCCAAGTACTCCCATCTGGTCTGAGCCTGGGATGTTCTTGACATGTTCTCCCACCACTGGGATTAAGACAGGAAAAATACACACTTTCCCAACTACAGGATTATAGAGTTCAGCACATCACCTGTTGGCTTCGGGGTGGCCCTGGAGTGGTGGACTTGAAGCTGTTGGTCCACATATAGCCAGAACACCTAATCCAGGTTCAAGGGAAAGAAAACTGGCCCCATTGCCTATGCTACAAGGACTCTAGTAGTCTGTTTACCTGACGGCCAAATCTCTGATGGTTTCTTCCATTTGTACAGCTTTTCTTGTTCCTCTACTAGTATTTCTAAACATGTTTGCACTTTCCTTCACGGGCATGTGATTTTAAACTTTCTTTTAATCTTCAGAAAAGGGAACGGAAGCAGGACAATGGGGCTGTGCCGTCCTCCGCCCCAAGTGTAGAACGGCTGCTGCACCTGTCTCTTCTGCTGGCTCAGGGAAGTGTCGTCTTGCTCACATTTCTGTGGGGAAAGGTTTTTAATCCTCTGATAATCCTCTCGTGTTCCCATCTCCCTGTCAAGGCCCAGAAACCTGGGCTCATCTTTGTACAATAGTGGATTTCCGGGCCACTGAAAGGTGACATGGCCCCACTGGACACAAGAGGGACAGAATCAGTAGGCGAGGCCTTCTAGAATCCTTTAGAGAAGCGAATGAAAATTCATGTTTAGACTTTTCAGTACTATTGGAATGATTTTTTTTTCTAAACAGGAAAATAATGTTATAAAAGCATCTTTGTTAATTTGTTTGCATTCCTCCCCATCTTGGTGTTTTAAAATGCAAAAATTACACCACTTTTTGTACAAAAATATGTAATATTAAAAAACAAACAAGATGTGTTGGCCTGGGCATTTGTGTAAAAGACGTGGAAATGGAGTAAGACAACCGAGACCCATTTTCATCCTTTTACTCAGGAAGAAAAAAATATTTAATATTTTTGTTGTATAAGGAACAATGCCAAGGCAGGTACTTACATTCCTGACCTCAGCAGCACGCCCTCCGGTTTTATAAAGCTATAGGACAGAGCAGTTGGAGAAAGAAGGTAACAAAGAAATTGGAAGGGATGTAGACAGAATGACAACGGACACATGTGCCGTACACTTGGGAGTCCCTGCAGCAGATCTGAATGATGCCAACCAGATCTCCGCGGACTGGTGCCCCTGCGGGATGCAGGAAGTAGTAACACTAAGGGAGTGGTCACAAGGGGGGACAGTCCAGAGGGAAGATGGGACGGGCCACCCTACCTCTCCTCCTGGGGAGGCAAAGGTGCTCCTCCCATCCCTTGCCTCAGCACAGCTTATATACTCCCACTCCAGAGAACTGAGACCCTTTCTTGACACTCCGAGCAGCCCTAGTTCCCTAGACCGCCTCTGCAGGCAGAGAATGGCGAGCGTTGTGAAATGAGGTTCAAAAGTAAAGCAGAACCCAGAGAAAATATCAGAGCTGCCACATGTAGCACCAGCAACAAATCCTCACATTTCTTTTTCCCTGTTCTGAGAGTCCCCTCAGAAGGTTAGATGATCTGAACGGTCCTCCCTTCCCTGCAGTCTCTGCTGACACCAGGCTACAGCCCACACACAAGGGAGCCTCTGCCTTGGGCCCATCTGTGCAAGAGTCATCTTAGGTCTCCTTAAGGACATTGATCTTGGCGCAGATCTTGAGGGCAGGGCCCAACTTGATGTTCATGGCACTCATAAGATGCTCTTCCTTTAGTAATAAAAGGGCCTGTCCATCAATCTCTTGGGAGCGAAATTCCTCTGCAATCTCTTGGCACCCTAGAAGAAAATGGTGAGAATTCATGAGAAACTACATGGTAGCACTGGAGGACCTAAAGTAAATATTAAAGAATGGGTGCCTAATAATAGTTAATTCCAAATCTGACATGGCAAATTTTAATAGCAAATTAGAACAACTGCCGTATTGAAACGAAATGGCCATGATGAAGACCACAGAAATAACTTCATTCCAATGACTTGCGGAGAGGGAAAAGGGAAAACACAAACTACATGTTTTCTTTTAGTTGGAGACATTTTTGTTAAAGAGCCAAGAATTCAGACCAACAGCAAGAAAAGTAGGGTGACTGCTGTGGGAAAGTCTGCCAAGAACAGCTTCCACATTAAACTGCCTGGAAGGGAGTAAGGCAACAATGGCCTCTTAGTTTCTACTGTTCCAACGGAGAAAACATTCTGAGGCGGTCACTGGGTTTAGTGGTTGAGGTGTCCTTAATTCACACTGAAGTGCCTTGTTTGAGAGCCAGCTCTGGCTCCCGACTGTCACTTGGGAAGCAGTGCTGATGGCTCCATGGACGGGGACCTGCTGCTCACCTAAGAGACCTGGACTGAGTTCCCAGCTTCAGCTCCAAACCCTACCATCCAGGAAATGGACCAGCAGAAGGGAGACTGGCCTTTCTGTGCCCCTCAAAGAAAAAGAGCAACTGTATAAAAGTGTGTATATATCACACAAAAGTTATAGATAAGTGATAGTGATACACCAGAAGACAGATAATCAGGCTTTGTAAAGTCATGGAGATACTAGAAGACAACATCCACCCATTAAGAAATTAAGAAACCATGCTGTTAGCTAGCATCCTGAATAAATTTCTTGAGCGTTTGTGTACAGCCATACTCGGGCTCCTGCTGTTACAGTCCCTCTTGGAGGCCCATGGAATGACTTAAGGGGATTAAAGGCTGCAGAGGCCAGCAGTACCTTGGAGAGAAGCAATAAATTCATACACCTCCTCTACACTCCAACGGCTAGGATTGCTGGACAGGAACACGGGGTTGATGCCATGTAATTCTGGTGTAGGTGGAGCTGTGATGGGGTTCCCCAGGTCACGCTCTCCATGCCCAGCTCGTACAGATAACGGCCCAGGAGATGTTGGAGAGAGTGCTTCATCGTAACTGGAATTGTCTGACCCCCGGCTAGAGTCCTCTTGACCCTACACAGAAAACAACAGGTCAAGGTTAAGTGTCTTCAGCTTCCCTGTATTAAGCATAAGGGAGAAACTAACTTTAACATACTGTACAATAACCTGTACTTCATTGCACAAAGGCCCAAGGACCTTCCAAGGACAAGCTATTGTTTCCTTGATTCCAATTGTCCTAAAAACAGATCTAGATTTTCTCTAATACAGGGTAGGGACTAATGGATACAGGAACCAGTGTTCAGGTAAAGAGTTACAAAGGAGGTCAAGGTGAACAAGAGTTCTGGTCTCACACCCATCTACACAGTCTGAGGCACTGTCCTATAGCACAAGAGAAAAAGCCCAGTTTCAGTGGCTGGCTCCACAGCCTAAGTACCAGCATCCCATATGGGTACCATTTCAAGTTCCACCTGCTCCACTTCCAATCCAGCTGCTCCGGGAAAGTAGCAATGGATGCCCTAAGTGCTTGAGCCTGTCCACCCATGTGGGAGACCCAAGAGATGTTCTAGGCTTTGGCTCTGGCTGTTGTAGTCATTAGAGGAGTGAACCAGTGGAAAGAAGATTTTGTTTCTCTCTTTTCAACTCTGCCTTTCCAATAAAAATAATTTAAAAACAAAAAGGAAATAAAGGTAATAGGGAAAAAAGTCCTGTTTGAAAGGTAACTGTGACAGCCACTCACCCGGTGGCGCTTGCCCTGGATCTTGGCCCGGGCTATGTCTGAGGAGCTGCGACGGGGTCCACGCCTGCGAACACGAGCGTAGTTGGCTTCTTGAAACTCTTTCATCTTTTTCCTTTTCAACCGAAACTGGTGGCTACAGCTCACGTTGTACCTATGGGTCAAGGCACACAGCCAGGGTCAAAGGCACTGTGGAGGACTATCTGCCTACCCTACCCTCAGTGAGATTCGGTGTTTAAAGATCAATTTCGGAAAAGACTGAAAGCAAGGAGTGAGCCACAAAGCATCATCTGAAAGCCCTCACTGGAAAGGAGAGTGACGCTGGACTGAGAAGCCAACACGGGATAGAGTGGGGCGGGGCACCTTCAGTACCTCTTAGCGCAAGTCATGGAGCAGAACCTCTTGGAGCCACGAAACTGCTCGGCAGGGGCGTACTTCCCACAGTACTCGCACTTGAGGAGACTCGTCTTCTTATCCAGCTCTGGAAAACAGGCATGGCTGCAGCCACCCAAGGGCTCTGCTGCCCCTTGGGCCACCATTCATCACTCCCACAGCTAGATCCCAACTGGGGGCTATGGTGTGCCCCCAGAGACCTACACAACCTGAGGATCCCAAAAACACCCAGTCAGAAACCCAGCCCCGTGAAGACTTGTCCATCAAGAGCATTTCCAACTCCTCTCCCCACCGTCTCAGAGCTTGCGAGGGGCTGACGGAGCAAGCCCTCTCAGAGGCTATGGTACAAGGCCACTTGGGCTGGTGACGGGTGAGATCTCCAAAGCCAAAGGGAACATATGGCTCTTTGTACAATGGAAGGTGTTTATGCTCAAGGCGAAACAATTCTATCTGGACAACAATGGCTCCTGGCTGGAAACCCTACAAAACCACAGTCATCTGGAGCAAGGCGATTCATGTTCATGGAGACAAGGACATGGTTTTCACCAAATTCGGAAGCAAGCTTCCTGGGAAATGTGAAGTTATGCTCCTCCAGGATTTACACTATTGAAAAGTAAGTAGGCAAGCTAAGTTTGCTCTCATTTAAAAAAAAAAAGTCTTCCTATCTACATCCTACATAATTCATATTCAGGGTTCAGATACAATTCCATTTCTGAATGGGAGAGGACCTTACCACTAATGCTTAGGAAAATATTAGGTAAGAGTTTCCGATAATATGTTACAAAATCTAAGATGAAGAGAATGGAGAAGTGAGACCATCAATGTCATTACCTCTCAGCCTGCTGGCTAGGATTGAGTGAATAATACAAACACTGGGGCTGGCATGGTGGCATAATAAGTTAAGCACTGTGAGTGATGCCGCTACAAGACGTGGCTGCTCCACTTCCGATCCAGCTCCCTGTTACTATGCCTTCAAGAGCAGCAAGGGATGGATCAGAGCATGGCTCAGCCAACTTCGGCCCCTGCCATTCACATGGGAGACTCACATGAAATCCCAGACTCCCAGCTTTAGCCTCACCCAGCCACAACTGTTGCAGCTATTTAGGCAGTGAACCAGCTGAAGGAAGATCAGCTTCTCTTCACCTGTTCACTCCCCAAATGGCCACAAAAGCCAGACCAAACCCAAGAGCCCATGGCTACCTCTGGGTCTCCTACAAAGGCGCAGGAGCCCAAGCACTTGGGCCGACATCCGCTGTTTTCCCAGGTGCATTAGTAGGGAGCTGAATCAGAAGTGGAACAGCTGGGTCTCAAACTAGAGCCCATAGGGGATGTCAGCATCACAGGCAGGGAAGCTTTAGGGATATGCCACATGAGCCCCAAACTTATCTTTACAGTAAGGAATAATGTAACAGGTTATTTTTGCTTGATAAAAGTTCACTTGAGAACTATTTTAGTGTGATTCCACATGCTCCAATATCAAATATGGCTTCTGT